TTTCTCTACCGCTGTTTAACTGGTGGCTGGACATTACATCATTTTTCTCTACCACTGTTCAACTAGTGGCTGGGCATTACGTCATTTTTCTCTTTCACTGTTTATCTGGTCGCTGGGCATTGCGTCATTTTTCTCTACCACTGTTCAACTGGTGGCTGGGCGTTACGTCATTTTTCTCTATCACTGTTTAACTGGTGGCTGGGCATTACGTCATTTTTCTCTACCACTGTTCAACTGGTGGCTGGGCATTACCTCATTTTTCTCTATCACTGTTTAACTGGTGGCTGGGTATTATGTCATTTTTATCAATCACTGTTCAGCAGGTGTCTGGGCGTTACGTCATTTGTCTCGATCACTGTTTAACTGGCGTCTGGGCATTACGCGATTTTTCTCTACCCCTCTTTAACTGGTGGCCAGGCGTTACGTCATTTTTCTCTATTACTGTTCAACTGGTGGCTAGACATTGCGTCATTTTTCTTTACAATTGTTTAACTGGTGGCTGGGCGTTACATCCTTTTTCTCTACCACTGTTCAACTTCTGGCTAGGCATTGCGTCATATTTCTTTACCACTGTTCAACTTGTGGCTGGGCGTTACGTCATTTTTCTCTACCACTCTTTAACTGGTGGCTGGACATTACATCATTTTTCTCTCTCACTGTTTATCTGGTCGCTGGGCATTACGTCATTTTTCTTTACCACTGTTTAACTGGTGGCTGGGCGTTACGTCATTTTTCTCTACTACTGTTCAACTAGTGTTTGGGCATTACGTCATTTTTCTCTACCACTGTTTAACTGGTGGTTGGGCATTACGTCATTTTTCTCTACCACTGTTTAACTGGTGGCTGAGAAGTTACGTCATTTTTCTCTTGGGGGTTTTAACTAGTGGTTGCGCATTACGTCATTTTTCCTACCACTGTTTAACTGGTGGCTGGGCGTTACGTCATTTTTCTCTACCACTGTTTAACTGGTGGTTGGGCATTACGTCATTTTTCTCTACCACTGTTTAACTGGTGGCTGGGCGTTACGTCATTTTTCTCTACCACTGTTCAACTTACAGGTTTGGGCATTACAAAATTTTCTCTACCACAGTTTAACTGGTGGTTGGGCATTACGTCATTTTTCTCTACCACTGTTTAACTGGTGGCTGGGCATTACGTCATTTTTCTCTACCACTGTTTAACTGGTGGCTGGGCGTTACGTCATTTTTCTCTACAACTGTTCAACTGGTGGTTGGATTACGTCATTTTTCTCTACTACTGTTTAACTGGTGGCTGGGCGTTACGTCATTTTTCTCTACCACTTTCAACTGGTGGCTGGGCGTTATATCATTTTTTTCTCTTACTGTTCAACTGGTGGCTATAGCGTTACGTCATTTTTCTCTACCACTGTTTAACTGGTGGATGGGTTACGTCATTTTTTTCTCTACCACTGTTCAACTGGTGGCTGGGCTTTACGTCATTTTTCTCTACCATTGTTCAACTGGTTGCTGGGCATTACGTCATTTTTCTCTATCACTCTTTAACTGGTGGCTGGGTATTACGTCATTTTTATCTATCACTGTTCAGCAGGTGTCTGGGCGTTACGTCATTTTTCTCGATCACTGTTTAACTGGCGTCTGGGCATTACGCGATTTTCTCTACCCCTCTTTAACTGGTGGCCAGGCGTTACGTCATTTTTCTCTATCACTGTTCAACTGGTGGCTAGGCGTTGCTTCATTTTACTCTATCACTGTTTAACTGGTGGCTAGGCATTACGTCATTTTTCTCTACCACTGTTCAACTGGTGGCTGGACATTACGTCATTTTTCTCTACCACCGTATAACCGGTGGACGGATATTACATCATTTTTCTCTACCACCGTTCAACCGGTGACTGGAGATTAATCATTTTGGTAGGTAGACATTAAGTCATTTTTCTCTACCACCGGTAAAGCGGTGGTCAGGGCTCAAAGGGTTAAATGCTCTTCTGCAATAAAATAATTCATAAGGAATTTACATTTTTTATATAATAACCTAAACATGTCGTCTGTGTTTGAATTATTTTCGACTGACAATCTCGTTCTTAGTGAATATTTATAAAAATTCAGGAGGAGAGTTACATTTTTCTTAGTCGGGGAGAAGTTATTGAAACCAAAATACCCACTAACGTTTCTGATTAGTCCGATAATCTCAAAATGGCGACGTCAAGACCGTCGTTAAGGAAGATAAAAGATGGCTTGTCAATTTTAACGGTTCCAGAACTAAACTTCTCTCCATTATTCATTTGAGAGACCCTTTCTGTCTTTCCTCTGCATGGCTGATGCTAACCTTCAGGAAATTAACTCGTTACGCGGGCTAATGTTTTCTTTTGCTAGCTGTTTTTCGAGACTTTGCCCTTCGACAGAGCCTCGACTGGGAATCCTCTCTGCCCGGAGCTGGAGACGAATCTCCAACTGCAAGACATCTACCATCCACCCCACGTTATCAGATGTGGCACAAAGCCGAATTTAATGCGGGGTATCCACATATTCCCCGTAGAGTCCGTATAAAACGGGGTCGGGTAGCTGTTTCCAGGGACGAGACTCTGCCTTTGAACATAGCCTCGTCTGGGGATCCTCTCTGCTCGGTGGTAGAGAGTTTGACCAGCACAGCTGGAGACGATTCTTTAAATGCAGACCAACATACACTATTTCCTACTGTATTTATGTGAATGGGGACATACCCATTATCGTCAGTAGGTATGCTACAACAATCAGTGAAATGATAAAAAAAGGCGTAGAAAAAACTTTATGAACTCAAGTCATAAGGAAAGAAAATAGTTGTAATGATTCAGCAATGGTTGACAAAAACCTGTCCACAACATAAACAATAAAAGATAAACATTGTAGGTGGAAAACTAGTAAAAGGAAAAAAAAGTATGGCTAATTAAAGGAGTTTTAAAAGGAAAAGTATGGCTAATTAAAGTAGTTTTAAAAGGAAAAAGTATGGCTAATTAAATTAGTTTTAAAAGGGAAAGTATGGCTAATTAAAAGAAGTTTTAAAAGGAAAAGTATGGCTAATTAAATTTTAAAAAGAAAAGAATGGCTAATTAAAAGGGAAAAAAATTCTGATTTGTCAAATGAAAATAATTTGTCCGTTTGGAAAAAATATCCCAGTAATGGTACATTAGCTGTTTCCCTAAGAAGGAAATATTTAGACTATTTACATTACAGATACTGAAGGAAATATTTAGCATTTATCGACAGATTAAACGCCCCCCCGCTCAATGTTTTCGGCTGAAATTCATAAAGTCTTACACTTAAAACAATTTTCAGGAAAAAAGCTTTTTGAAGTCCAGTAGTTGTTATAGCTCTTTTCAGTATGTCAGAAGAGTTCTTAAACTTTTTATCTGAAGTAGTGTGGAATGTCAACATCTTGATTATGCATCTTATTATAAAACTGGAAGGATTTATAATTTCAACCAACAGCACAACTGGCTGTTTGGTTAATGAATTTGAATATTTCCATATAAGGAAAGGATTAAAATTAACATTCATCTTTCCAGTACTGATGGGGTTTTCCTTCCTCACCTTTTGTTTGAAGCAGTGTGGAATATCAACATCTTCATTATATCATTATTTTTTGAAGAGAAAATAATGTTTCATGTGCTATCCATTTTAGTTGTTGATTCGGAAGATTTTCCTTAAGTGATGTGGTTTCTGTTATTTGGTACGGTTCTCTGTTTTTTTTAATTCTGTAGCACCTGCCCACAACATTCACAATTTTTCAGTAAAAACAGGTTTCTCAAGTCTAGTAACTGTTATAGCTCTTTCCGTTATTGATGGGGAGTTTCTTTCCTAACCTTTTGTTTGAAGTTGTGCGGAATGTTAACAGTTTGAATTTACATTTGAGTCTATAAGCATTTATTCAGGAATAAATAAATATTGGTTTTAGAGACTCTTAAAAAGTATGGAGTATAGTATCCAGTGAATTACCATATAATAACAGTAATGTAATATTACCAGTTTCATTACGTAGAAAAATCCGGCATTCATTGACAGAATAGTCAGTGTTATTGTTGATTGGATTTTATAATTTTTTTTTCTTAAAACACTACTAAGGAAAACATTACCCAATTCCAGTAGCTGTTATCGCTCTTTCTAGTATTGATGGAGGTTTCCTTCCTAACCTTTTGTTTGAAGCAGTCTGGAATATCAACATCTTGAGTATGTTATTATTTTCTCTACAAGTTTCATGTGCCATCTATTTCAGGTGTTGCCGCTGACGATTTTCCTTAAGTGATGTGGTTTCTGTTATTTGGTACGGTTCTTTTTTTTAAAATTCTGTAGCGCCCGCCCACAACGTTTACAATTTTTCAGTAAAAAAAGGTTTCTGAAGTCCAGTAGCTGTTATAGGCCTTTCCGTTATTGATGGGAATTTTCCTTCCTAACTTTTTGTTTCAAGCAGTCTGGAATATCAACATCTTGTGTATGTCATTATTTTCTCTTCAAGTTTCTATCCATTTTAGTTGTTGCGGCTGTTGGTATTCCTCAAGAGATGTGGTTTCTGTCATTTTGATGTGGTTTCTGTTAGAATGTTAAGTAAGGTCAGAATATTTACGAATGTTTCGGGCAGCGATTGTGACTAGCTTAATCAGATGACTAACGCTCCACTCAATTTATAGTCTTTGTACCCTATTTCATGTACAAAAATAGCATTCAGAATCTCGTTAGTAGAGGTACTAAACCATTTGAATACAGTACCTTGATCCATGCAATTGTAAAATTTGAGATACCCACCTATCAACCGAATACTAGGCGATCAATGCATATTGAATTAGCAGCATTTTTTTAAAAGAATAATTAAACATCTTTCTTAATTTGAAAAACGCTGAGCAGATACTAGTGAGGGATGACTGTATCGATCAGCTATATTTGAACAGATTCAATAATTGAAATTAACATAGATTAGCATCAATTCAATAAATTAGCATTTTCAAAACAAGTTTGGAAATCGAATTGTCTTCATAATCTCGAACTTAATTACGACGAGAGAAAGAGAAAATAAATCAGCAAATAAAGAAGAAATGAAAGGGAGAAAAAAGATAAGAAAGAAAGCATTGATGGAGCCGGGGAATATTTGAATATCTTTCTAATGATTAGAATTATAATGGATACGTAATTAATAATTAATTGCAAAAATACAATCATGTGTAATGAGGAGGTTATTAAAAGTTATATTGACATACATATCGGAGATAGGAGAAAGGTTTTAATAGATAGAAAATTAGATACGTTTAAACAGGCAGGAAGCAGAGAGAATGATATATTTATAACAATAGACCGACTGACACAGATAGAAACACTGACATAGATTGATAATAAGCAGACTGATAGATAGATAGATAGATAGATAGATAGATATTAACAGACTGAGAGAGATATGAACTGAGATAGATAGATAGATAGATAGATAGATAGATAGATAGATAGATAGATAGATATGAACAGACTGAGATAGATGGATAGATAGATAGATAGATAGATAGATAGATATGAACAGACTGAGAGAGATATGAACAGACTGAGATAGATAGATAGATAGATAGATAGATAGATAGATATGAACAGACTGAGATAGACGGATAGATAGATAGATAGATAGATAGATATGAACAGGCTGAGATAGATAGATAGATAGATAGATAGATAGATAGATAGATAGATATGAACAGACTGAGATATGAAAAGACTGAGATAGATAGATATGAAATAAGATAGATTGATAGATAGATATTAACAGACCGAGAAAGATAGACAGATAGATATGAACTGAGTACATAGATAGATAGACAGACTGACAGACAGACACGCAGATAGATAGATAGATAGATAGATATTATATGAAGAGACTTAGATAAATAGATAGATAGTAATGAACAGACGGAGATAGACATATAGATGGATAGATATATCTGATTAGATTGGGGTGGGAAGAGAGAAATAAGAAAATACATATTTAAATAGATTGTTAGATGTACAGATACAGAGATATGTAGATATAAACAGACAGATGAATATGAACAGACCGAGATAGATAAGTAAATCGATATAGAGATATATAGATAATGAACACAGTGCGATAGACTGAAAGATAGATATGAACAGGGTGAGAAAGATAGATATGAATAAATTGAGATAGACTGACAGAGAGATATAAACAGCGTGAGATACATAATCAGATATATGAAGAGATAGATAAAGAGATAGATAAATAGACAGATATATAGCTATGAATAGATTGAGATAAATATTAATAGCATGGGATTTATAGATATGAAGAAACTGCGATAGATAGATAATGAACAGACATAACAGCCTGAGATAGAAAGATAGCCAGATAAACAGAGATATATAAATACGTATAAAGTGCAATATAAATATATATATATATATATATATATATATATATATATAGAGAGAGAGAGAGAGAGAGAGAGAGTGATAGATAGATTTGAACAGACTGAAATAGTTAAATAGACAGAAGGATATATAGATATGAATAGTGAGATAGATATTTAGATGGATATATATATATATATATATATATATATATATATATATATATATATATATATATATATATGTCGACGGAAGCCGAAGGAGAAATTTAAAAAAAAGTCGAAAATGAAAAGGCAAAAATGACGTCATAGAAACGGTGGGAAGATTGAGTGAATTAGCGAAAGAAACCATAAGGAAAAGAAAAATACAAAAGAAGAGTAGAATCTAGAAGAAGAAGAAGAAGAAGAAGAAAAAGAAGAAGAAGAAGAATGAGAAGACGATGACGATGAAGACGGAGAAGAAGAAGAAGAAGACGATGACGACGAAGAAGAAGAAAAAGACGATGACGATGAAGACGAAGAAGAAGAAGAAGAAGAAGGAGAAGACGATGACGATGAAGACGAAGAAGAAGAAGAAGAAGAAGAAGAAGAAGAAGACGACGATGATGATGATGATGAAGAAGACGACGACGATGAAGAAGAAGAAGAAGAAGACGGAGAAGAAGTAGACCACGACAAATAAGAAAACGAGGAAGAAATTGAAGGAACAGACGAAGAAGAAAAATAAGAAGAAAACAAAGACGAAGACGACGAAGAAGAGGAAGAAAAAGACGCCGACGTCATCGACGAAGAAGAAGAAGGACAATAACAAGAAGAAGAAGAAATAACAATAATAAAGAAAGAAGAAAAGGAAAAAAAAAAGAAGAAATACGAAGAACTCGATGATGGAGAAAAATAAAGAAGAAAGTGGAATAATAAAAAAGAAGAAAAACATGTGAAGGAAAAGCATACGTCTGAAAAGATTGAAATAAAAGAAAGGAAAAGAAAAAAAGGATTGAAAAAATATAAATAAATATGAAACTGAAAAGAAGAAAAAAACGAAAGCGGAACGGAGATCGAAGAAGAAAAGCTGTCAAACAATTTCAGAATAAAGAAGAAAATATTTAAAAAAAAACAAGAAAAGGAAGAAGAAAGGAAGTTAATAAAAAAAAAATTGAGAAAGCCAACAACTGAAGGCAAAGAATGTCGTAGAAGAACAAGAAGAGAGAGAGAGAGAGAGAGAGAGAGAGAGAGAGAGAGAGAGAGAGAGAGAGAGTAAGAGAGAGAGTGGTAATGAACAGATGGCTTGAAAAGAGATTTTGATTAGATCTCGTGGTGACGAGATCTCACGATGATTGCCGGACGACCACTGAAACTGACTGGCTGAAAGTAGGATCGATAGATAAGCCACACGACTATTTTCAGAACTTTAATATTAGCAATCGTGTAAATGCACCTGGTCCCCACCAGTATTGACAAACACAAAAAAGAAGTATTTAAAATTATTTCCTGAAACTGTCTATTGGCATTGTTCTTTATTGCTCGCGCTCTCTCTCTCGCTCTCGCTCTCTCGCTCTCTCTCTCTCTCTCTCTCTCTCTCTCTCACACACACACACACATATATATATATATATTACTAGTGCACATATGATGGGACGAATGGGATAATTAATTTTCTCTGTCATAGACGAGTGTTACGATCGTTGGGTCGTATTCAACGAATGAAGGACTGTAAAAAAACTAAAGGGATGTTGCATCACTTGTAGTCTCTGGCTTCTTCTGGTCTGTGGGTAATTACTCAGTAGGCAGCCCAACACCGCCCCAACAAGCTCGATTTAGACAATTTTATTCAGATTTCTATCTATTTTTTAAATCATTTCACCCCGAGCAAGATAATAAAGCCACTAAGACTCAAGGGGGGGGGGTTACTGAATATGTGAGAATATCAGAAGAAAACATTATTAAAGAGACATGACAATAAAAGACACATATTTCTCTCGCTATATCTCTCTCTTTCTCTCTCTGTCTGTTTCTCTATCTCTCTCTGTATATATATATATATATATATATATATATATATATATGTGTGTGTATTTAGGCAGCAATCCTTCTTTCATGCACATTTCATTGAATACGACAGACAAGGTGCTTTGATTTAGTTTTTCATACAATTTCTCATGTGATCTAATAATTTTTTTTCTTTTCGGATGATAAATTATATAAAAACTGTCCGAATGTTCTTTTTATCCGAGTTTTTTTTTATGAACATGGACATAATATCTTGACCGTGTTTTGAAAAATGAAAACATTTTTTAAAACATACATACAACAAACTATTTCTTATTTAACAGTTAAAATATTTAATCTTTGAAAATGGCTAAATGTATAGCCGAAAGCGCTCGGATATACATTTAGCCATTTTCAAGGATTAAATATTTTAACTGTTAAATAAGAAATCGTTTGTTGTATGTATGTTTGCTTCGATTTAAAAATCCTAGAGAATGATATTTTTATTCTCTAAGATTGATTCGTTTTTAGGCATTTATCTCTGGTTGCTACAACCAAAACATAATCATTTGCACAGTTCCTGATAGATCATCCTCCCCACACAATTATGCCTATTTAAAAAATTTTTTTTTTGCATTTTCGACCACTTTCTTTACATTGAATTCTTATGATTGCTTCATCGAATCTTCTGATGTGTTTCTTTTGTGTGTGGCGTATGTCTTTTTCCAAGGTGATAGAAGAATGATAAGATTTCTTTTAAATAATTCAAACAAGTTGAATTAGAATTACAAGAAAGCGAGAAAAAAATAGAGAAAAGACTAGAATTTTCAGAATTTAAAGGATGAAATCAGAACGTAAGAAAAGCGGACAACACGATGCCATCATTCAGAAAATCTGCCAGAAACGATTCAAAACCTTTTCATTTTTTTTTACCCCCATTCAATTAGATTAGAATAACTGAATTTAGGTCGATCGGAACGGTGAAAAAAATACATTGGGCTATATTATATTTCTACGCATTCCTGCATTGGCTTACCCCGTCATTTCAATAGGATATTTTAAATGTGTTTGTTTTTGGTTTTACTTGACGGTAATAAGCTCTGGTATTTGGTGCTTGTTTCCTTTGAAGGGTAATTTTATCGAAATTTATCGATGTACTTTTTTTATTTTAGATTCGGAGCAGGATTTCTTCTCGAGGAAATTATGTTGCAAAACCATCTTCCATCCTTTTGAAGAGAAGGAAAAGAATGGTAATCAGGAAAAGTTCACAAGACCGGAAATAAAACAGGAACCAGGATATATATATATATATATATTATTGAACAATAAAAAATATAAAAAAATTAAAATCTTCAGACACACTGGGTTGTAGATTAATATTCTTTCATTTTTATTATTATTATTAATTGATTTAGATTCCTCGACTAGTTTCGGCCAACATGGCCATCATCAGGAAAAGAAAAATTTCTGCATGCTGGTAGCAGTAAACTACAGAAATGAATGTCTTGATGAAGAAAATGAACTTTTGTCTGTAGTTTTCATTTGTTTTTTTTTATTTTTTTATCTTTTTAACATGAATTTTTTAATATTCCTTGTGTTGGTCAAACAGTCTCTTTTAAGTTGTTATTTGAGATAAGAGCTGGATGGATCTATGCTGCTCTGAATTCCCCTGGTCAGTTTGACAGTTTTATTTGCTCTTGGAGAGGGGATGTGTCTTTGTTAAGTGTGTGTGTGTGTGTGTGTGTGTGTGTGTGTGTGTGTGTGTGTGTTATTTGGTTCTTAGGGAGTGAGTGAGTATGATATGTGTAAGCGTGTATATTACTGTGGGTGGGTGTTATCATTTGGCTCATTAGTGAGTGAGTGAATATGATGTGTGTAAGTGTGTATGTTCGTGTGTGTGTGTGTATAAGTGTGAGGCCTCAACACCTCCGTAAGCGTGTCTGTCTTGTGTGGGTGAGAAATGTGGGTAGGTGTTGATTTGTAGGGTTATATATTGGTACTATCTATATTGTTAAATTTATGGTTTAGCCCGGCTGGATGTTGTGTTTTTAAACGTTGTATCCACTTATTTTCATGGAAATCTTTCTAAAGTTATCTGCACTGAACTTTATATATATATATATATATATATATATATATATATATATATATAAATATATATATATATGCGAAAGAAATAGGCAATACCAAACTTATAACAACTGTCATGTTTTTAATAGAGTCTGCAAATATGGATTTCATGCCCAGTGGCAATTTTTGAACTCAGACAGGCAATTGCTATATAGGAATTTACAGACAGTAAATTGTCATGGCATTGTATATTGCAGTCATTACGGTTTCTTGTAAATCGCCAATTATATCAGGTCACTCAAGGGACGCTTCTGGTATCATGTACTACCTGCTGCATGGTTGATGTGATCGGGGTCTAAACCGGTTCCTTCATCGGGGCTTTGCTGGTGAGGAGATTGGCTCGACGCCCATCAAAATTAAAAACAAAACAAATCAAAGTAAATACTTTTTCGACTTTCCTGCAGATAAAAAAAAAAACAACTTGAAAGAAAAACAAAAAC